AAGCTTCTTTCACTCTCAGAACAGCTTCATAAAGGTCTCTCTGTGCAGCTGTAAACCTTCCATTGACAGGCCAAGTACGTGTAATATCACTAACATACCCACGATACTCGACACCTCCATCTAATAATACTAACTCTCCTTCACTACCAGTGGAAGAAAGAGGGGGAGAGGAGGGAGAGATGGAGGAAGAGAGAGGGGAAAGGGAGATAGAGGTGGAGATAGAGAGAGTGTCAAAAAAGAGAGAGAGAAATTAAAATTATTTCTCAAGGAGATATGTTAAGTTAAGGCAAAGTACTGTATAGTGGGAAATTTTGGAGGGAGTTAAATTTGGCGAATTTGGTGTTTTGATAGCCATTCACCAGAATTAAAATTCACCACTTTGAGCCATTAGGTGCATGCTCAATGGCACATGGCCACAAATTTGCCAAATTAAAATTTGCCAATCACTAGAATTTAGCAATTTGCCAAATTTAAGTCCCTTCAAAATTTCCAGCTATACAGTATGCATGTGAAGCTAAAGGGACTCACTTTAATTTGAGTTCATTTGTAGTGTAGTGAATATGACAGGCTCTCTCTCCACCTGCTACTACAGGTACAAATGCTAATCTTTGCCCTCCATTCATTCGGCAGTAGTGCTCAAAGTGTGACTCCAATTGATACTCATACATACCTGGGACTGTCAGTGACATCACCTGTATTAAATAATAATAATAATAATAATGATAATAATAATAATGATAAAATTAATAATAAAAATACTGTATGTAACACTAATAGAAATAATAATGATGATAAAAGTAATAATAAATAGTTAATAGTTATTTTGTTTATTAGGGCTCTCCCTTTCTGTTCTTCTCATTGTGTGCTGTCACTTGTTACTTGATTATAATAATAATGATAATAATATTTGCTTAATTGGTTCCTGTCTAGTTCATGCTTAAATTTTATTGACTTATTGTTCATAATAATAATAATAATAATAATACTATTCTGGTTTAACCTGTTTTATTCTCTTTCTTTGTAACCCACCCTACACTGTATTTTAGATATGTTTCAATAATAATAATAATAATAATAATAATAATAATAATAATAATAATAATAATAATAATAATAATAATAATAATAACACCTTTTTTAAGAAACATCTTTTATACAGGAGTCAATGGAGCTTGAAATATGTTTCATGAAGTTGAAAAATTTCAACTTTATGAAACATGTTTCAAGCTTGACTCCTGTATAAATGTTTCATGAAGCAAGTTTCATGGTTTAAGTCCCGTCACTATTTCTAGTTTTTGTGTCCTTGTGTCCCCAAGTTATGGAATGCAAACATAGCCAGTTTTTGGCAAAACCATCAAATGGCTGAAAATTCAAAGTGAAAATAATTAACAAAATCAGCTTCTTGCAAAGTATAAACAAGAAAAGCAATAATTAATAATTAATTACTGCTGAGCAGTTGTGTACGCACACAGTTGTTTTTCATATTCTCCCTCCCCATCAGTTACAGATAATCATGGTGCGTGTATAGTGTATGGACAATGAATTCTTAAAGTTTGGGTGTGGCAACAATGAACCAATCAACTATCACAACTTTCACAAGACACAAGATAATGTCAGTAGAGGACCAGTGCTGGGCTGCCTTTAGAGATGGCAAACACAATAAAGCTGTTTACTTACTACCATTAGTGAAGGAACCAAATAAAATTAAAAGAACTTATGCCTCGACTTATGCAAACCTAATATTTATTTGGGAGAATACTAGTCTACTTCAGTTGTCTTCAAGGCATGGCTGGTTAGATGTTACAAAAGATCTTGTCACTAAATATCACTGTGATCCACATGAAAGTGATGATGGGCCTAAGCCTTGTCTTGAATGGGCTGCAGAAGGTAATCATGTTGATACAATGAGATATCTCATCAATGAGTGTCACTGCAATCCAATGGCTATTGATGCATATGGATATACTGTTCTTCACAAAGCAGCTGAACATGGATCACTTGATGCCATGAAGTACTTAATCATTCATCATCACTGTGATCCAAAGGCTACTAACAATAATGGTAAGACTGTTCTTCACTGTGCTGCTAGCACTGGACACATTGATATTGTAAAGTATCTCATTGATGAGTGTCACTGTGATCCAATGGCTATTACCAATAGAGGTGAGACTGCTCTTTACCTTGCTGCTGGAGACATTAATATGATAAAGTATCTTATTGATGAGCATCACCGTGATCCAATGGCTACTGATGCATATGGAGACACTGTTCTTCACAAAGCAGCTAAACATGGATCACTTGATGTCATGAAGTACTTAATCAGTCATCATCATCACTGTGATCCAATGGCTACTAACAACAAAGGTGAGACTGCTCTTCACCTTGCTGCTAATCACATTGATAGTGTAAAGTATCTCATTGATGAGTGTCAATGTGATCCAATGGCTACTAACAACAAGGGCGAAACTGTTCTTCACCGTGCTGCTAGTCACATTGATATTGTAAAGTATCTCATTGACGATTGTCACTGTGATCCAATGGCTACTGACTCTAACAACATGACAACTCTTCATAAAGCAGCTACAAGCAGTTCATCTGATGTAGTCAAGTATCTTATCAATGAGAAACACTGTGATCCAATGACTGTTGACAATCAGGGGCAGACACCTCTTCACATTGCTGCTTGTTACAGTAATTCTGCAGTTGTTGAATATTTACTATCAACTGGTAAATGTGATCTATTGGCTAAAGACTACAAGGGGACAACACCATTTAAAATAGCTAAGGAGCATGGTAACAATGATACTCTTGCTATCTTTAAGAAGTTTGGTGATATAAAATCATCTCATCCAATTGATTCTTATGTTAACATCCTCCTTGTGGGTAACCCTGGAGCCGGTAAAAGTACTCTTAGTCATGTCATCACTGACACAGCTACTGGTTCTATTGTTCTTGGTTCCTTCAGAAATGTTGGAGGGGTAGTGCCCTGTACTGCTGGTATCATTCCTTATAAACTACAACACACGACACTGGGTAACATCATTCTTCATGATTTTGCTGGTCATTCAGAATACTACTCCAGTCACAGTGCTGTCATTGAGAATCTGTTACAAGGTTCTGGTGGTGTGTTCCTGATAGTAGTCAATATATTGGAGAAGGAACCAGTCAAACAGCTTCATCAGTGGCTAACAGTTGTCAGAAATGAAGCACAGAAAGCTCTTATTCAATGTCATGTTACTGTAATAGTCAGTCATGTGGATGAAATATTAAATCCTTTTGAAAAGAAAAGGAGAAAGGAAGAAATACAGGAGATTATTGTAAGGGAAAGGTGTGATAGTGTCTTCTTAGATTGTCGTAAGCTTGGAGGGAGTGGTGTGGATTTCCTTTTTAAAATGTTGTCTAGTGCCTGTGAGTCCATTCGTAGTACAAGAGGAAGGAATTTGAGTCTTTATTGTCACATGATGCATGGTCTACTGGAGGAAAGGAAAGAGAATATACTGATCCTTTCTGATGTACTGACTGCTGGTAAGAACAGTAATGATTACTTTATACCAGAAAAAACAGAAGACGTTTTGGATGTTCTTAATTTGTTGCATTCAACTGGTTTGATCAGTGTTCTTAAAAGTGAAGACAAGGTATGGGTTGTTGTGAATAAGGGTATACTACTAACTGAGGTAAATGGGATTCTCTTTGCTCCAGAGACATTTAAAGAACACGTTGACATTGCTAGCAATACTGGTATTGTTAGTGTGTCTGGTCTGACTAGACTTTTCCCTGAATATGATCCTGACATGTTGATCTGCTTCCTAATG